CAGTGATGACACCCGGGCGTTTCCTCCCGCCCCATCAGACACAGGTACCTCCCGAAACTTCCATGTCCGGTGAGGACCTGCGTCAGGCGGTAGGTGAGGACGCCGTAGCGTCTCTCAAGCCACTCCTCAAAGAGGGGACTTACCGCTGCGATGGCAGCGAGCCCAGCCCTCGGTTGCGACAGTCGTTGCTGCCATTCCGCCATGAGATCGCGCCGGAGCTCATCCCGCCACGCACTTATCTGGCGCGGCAGCGGAGTTTCGCCCCGGCGACGTGCCTCCGCGCGCATGCTGTGCACGCGCGCGAGCACCTTCGCCTCCAGATCCCACGGCGGTAATCCGGCAAGGAGGTTCGCCGACTCCCCAGAGATCGTGCGGTATCCGCGGATCATTCGGATCGCCATGACCCTCTGAAGCCAGTCATGTGTAAAATACACTTGTAACTATGTAAATTGAAATGTAGCTAAGGTAACCTTTGAAATGTAGCTAGGTACATAAGTCGAGATGATATATTTAAACATAATAAGTAGTTGTTATAGCTGTAATTATGTTCTCATACCCTCTTACCCTTAATTCGTCTTCAGGAAAGATCCCTTTGTCTCGAAGATTAGTAAATCGTACACCTCGAGGGTTGGGAGCGCCACCACCCGCGCGTCCCCACGGCTGGTACGTCGCCAGTTCTTCACGAGCCTATAATTAGCAACACTAAAATATTGAAAAAATGTAACCTAACAGTTTGTGAGATCGAAATAAGCTAAAATATGTGTACCACAATAAATTACGTAATGAAAATATTTACAGGTACAGAGGTACACAAATACCTACTAGCAGGATTTGAACTCGATAACCTTTGCATCAGTCACTTCATTTAGTCGATGTCGCTTAAAAGTTAATAATAGCTATTTGAAACATAAGATTAATATGATGTTATAAAAGAGGCTCGTGCCGCACCTATTATTTCTTAATAATGTGGGCGGAGAAAGAAACACCGTGGAGTTGCCATCATTGTTGCCACGAGTATTTATGATCAACTCATTAGGTACTTAAAACCTACAAAAATTAAAAAGCTCTATCGATAATTAATTATATTCTACTACTTACGTATCAGACATGATATCTATGTATCCTAAATACACCTGTGGGTACTTCTCTAAATACAATAGATTAGAAAAATTTAAGATTTTATCAAAACGTACCTATTACATTGTATAACTGTTAAGGGCAAAGGTGAACACAAAAATGGTTACAAGAGTAACGACTACGTTTGTTAAATGAGCATACTCTAACTTACGGTACGTAGCTATGTACTTATTATGTATATGCAATCGAAGATAATTGAATATCTGTTAGCGCTTGAAAGCTAAATTATTATGTATGTAGGTATTCTATATTAGGTAAGAATGGATAGGTAGGTACTCTAAAATATTTTAAGTACGTAACTACTTATCTAATTATGATTTTAGTGAAAATCTTACAATTTTAAAAGTATCCTCGTACCCAAAAAAGTTATACTATTTGAAATTATGATTTATACTCCTATAGTGGTAATGTTTAACTTTACATTACGTAAGTTTAAGTTATGGTGTGGATCCCGTCCCGCACACGTTTTGTAAATATTTGCATTTTTAAAGGTACACACATACACGATAGATTGTCATCTCACATCTTATTATGTAAGGTTCACTAATATCGAGTTTTAATATTTTGAAAAGTGACAAATCTTGTTATGTTTAAGTATCGTCATATACCTCTATGTTCATGTATCTTCCTTATATGATAGGAACATAGATGATACGTAAGAAGAAGGCTGCATGGAAACATGTGTACATAACTACATACATAAAAGTACAAAACCTAGATGTACAGGTTTTATAGTATCTGTACACAATACCCGCATATATATGTATGTACCTTGCGCTGTTGTTCGAGCTTTTCCCGTGCCCTTCGCTCCCGCTTCTCGCGTGCGATGCGCTCGCCTTCCGCTCTCGTCTGCTCAGCACGTTGTCGCTCACGGGCTCGACGCCGGAGTGACCCTGACGTCGGGGCACTAAGCCTCCTTAACATAAATTGTAACAACAACGATCCCTTTACGAAAATTCATAATTGTACACTGTTATTCTTTAGTTAGCCTAATAGGTTCTTCTCTACTTAACAGTGCCTATCTTGACAAATCAAGTAGGTAGGTAAAAGCGTAGTTCACATAGGTATTTAATAACTTAAGAACTTATTAAACCAATCGATGCACCTCCAAACCTCTATGTCACGTCGTAGCCAACGTTTTCATTAATTAAGCGGCAATGTTTATAAATCGTATAATTGCTCAGTTTATAAATCAATTGAGCAATATTTATTAATGCGATTTTAATTGATTAGATAAAGCTTCATATAGGTAATTATTTTATTTAACAACTTTGTGTTATAATTTCATAATGCCTAGTTGTGTATTGGTAACTGCTAAGTAATTAGGTTTTACACAATCTTCATATTTTTAATTCGATAGGTAATCCTTTACACATTTAGAAAGTAGGTACGTAAGTTTTGTCTTCGTCGAAACGATCAGAAAATGATATCTTACCTACGCAATCTTCGAGAGTGCAAAGCAAACATTTAAACTATAGTTTCACTAAACCCAACAACAAATAATTTCATATCACATAACTAAACACACAGCAGAGTCTGACGAGTATGAACGCGGGAAGAATTGTGCGCACACTGAAGATTATCATTTCAGGTGTCCGGTAGCGACCGAGCGGCTTTCCGTCCGCTACTGAAAGTGTATCGAAGTCGCCGTCGCGCCACCGTTTCAACTGAAACTGTGCACCGTCGTGAACGTTTCCATTGAGTTATGTTATCACAACGTAACTTACGTTACAATTTTTCAGCCGTTTACGTCATTTATTTTGTATTGTTTTGAAGTCTTGGATGTCAGGTACCGATTTAAATAATAAAAATACGTTACGTATTGGAGCAAGCGAGATATTTCGGGGTGGGATTCAAGGGTGCTAATGGCAGAATCGCTCGTTACAATTTACTAATTTTTGTTCCGTATAAGGTGAATTCTGAACTAATAACAAACGTAAAATTTAGAGAGATAAATACGAGGGCAATTAGTACAGCTTTAAATGACTTAAAATTGCTATTGCTATTTTTATATCTAAGATTAGGTACACTTTGAGCACAATAGTAATTCAGATTACTACCTACCTAATTACATCAAGTCATGATATCAAAACATAGATACCTAGAATTGTTATACCTAATTTACTTGTATAATTGCCTACAATGTTGCAGTTTTTCAAATTGGATATCGTGTAGACACATGTTTTAATGGCGTAGTTAGTTAGGTCATATAAAATTCAATTGTAATTTTCCACCAACATGCAATGCACTCCGTTGTGTTAATAATTCAGTTATAGCGTCTTAATAGCGATAATTTCACCTATTGCGTCTATTCTAGTTGAAAATTCAGTAGAAAATATCTATCTATATCACTACATAGTATACAACAAAGTCGCTATCCGCCGTCTGTCTGGGACTGTCTGTCCCTATGAATGCTTAGATCTTTAAAACTACGCAACGGATTTTGATGCGGTTTTTGTTAATAGAGTATTTTTAAGGAAGGTTTATATTTATAATACGTATACATGCATATTGCACCCATGCGACGCCGGGGCGGGTCGCTAGTGTATTAAAAAAATGAATTTTCGTTCGTTAGTCTCGCTAAAATTCGAAAACGGCTAGACCGATTTGTCTAATTTTGATCTTGAAATGTTCGTGGAAGTCCAGGGAAGGTGAGAAAAAAATTTCGGCAGAACGAAGCTAGCATGTGACAAAAAATAACTACATAAATATGTTATTGAAACTTACCTTAACTAACGTCCTCTGATTGATTTATGCGAGCAATATTTCGATGATACAGCCTTAGCAGAACATGTTTCCACAAAGTCGTAAGGATTTTAACTGGTCTATGATAGAATATAGAGTATTCTTGCAAATCACTAGTTGTGATTAAGTGCTTTGTTGCGGAGTTTCAAATACACTTTCAGTAAATAGGCTTGAAATAGGTCGTTTCTTTGTTAAGCCTACCGATGAACGATTTTTAAACATGAAAGGCCTTAACGATCTTTAGGCTGTAGGCACTATACAATGTTCAGACGCAAACTAAATTCATATCTGACGACTTTGAGGACAGGATGGGGAAAAAGTAACGATTATGACCTTGGCATAAAGTTACAAATAAAGAGTCGGGTACTTATTGTTAATCAATAAGAACAGCAGAAAACCTATGCGAATTTGCCAAATTTCCATATCGCGACATCACGTTTGGCTCCTATGTATAATACACGAGCAATAAATATAGCCTTGACAGTAATGAAATTCTGCGAAACTCGTGCACGCAGCAAAAATCTTACAAGAAATGACGTATAGCACGAACATTAGGTAGCTATATCATGGAATATTATATTATATATTTTTTTGCTATTATTAATGTTATATTTGTGTATTGACTATAACTACATAGTTGTAATTTTAATCTTCGTGTTACTAATTGTACGCTCTTGCTCTGGTTTTCATTACAATCACCTTATCTAATTATGTTTAAGTAAACATTGTAACCTTTAGTATTTGCGTATATTCATCTTTGTATAGTGCAGTAGGTCATGTACATTTTTCATGGCATTTTTCAGCTGGTATTCGGCTCGTCCTGGCGGTGCCGGGCGCCAACCGATCGATTGCCGCAAACACGCGTTTACGAATCCTATTGCATTCATTCATATACATAGCTTGCAGGCAGGAGAGTGCCATTGTTGTCGTGAAAATGGGTCACCAATAAAATCGTTTTTGATATTACGCTGGCATTTTGATGACTTTCTCAAGGACACCCACGCTATTAACATTTGCGTGTGTCCTTGCGAGTTTCAATATTGCGTGGAAACAAGGTTAAATTGTAAATAATGGGTAGCGTCTTGGATTGCGATGCGTATTGCAAATAAACAGAAATAAAACAGTATTTTGTAACTAATGTTTATATTAAAAATTATTCATGATTTACCATTTTACAGAATAATAATATTTACAAACGTATGACCTATTAAAGTATGTCTACATACATATAAATAAACTTCATTGACTCCCATTTTTTAACATTTTTAATGTACAAAAAAACATACACCTCCATCTCCATTATTGGGTTGGCTGAAACAACGACCAATGCATGAAATAAGTTTGTTCATAACAACGCGATTCTATCGGCTCAAAATTGCCTTAATCACTTCCATCTCTACGCTTAGTGGTTCCACTATAAAACATTCGAAGAGAATAAAGTGAGAACGAGTTGCGTGTGAACCCATATTTGAAATAAAGAGTATTCACACACACTAATTACTAATTCGTTGCGGCTACTATACGTACTGGACGGCTCTAACGAGCAAACCATGCTACATTTTCCTTATAAGTACTTAAGTTCTTCATAACTTTCGATTTTGTAAAATAGTTTGCTATAAAACAGCTTCATTTATGCAATATCAGTCGTTGCTTCAGCCTTAAACTATATTTACCTTATTAATGACTAATATTTTGTTAAATATTATTAATTTCAAGAAAAAGTTTTAAGAATACTGCGCTTATGGTGCATTGTTTTGCGGTACTCTGAAAATTCATTTGTCTATAAACGCTTGATACGTTGGATACATAATTGTTAGTATTATTTACAATTGTAACATGTACTAATTTGCTAACAGATGTTAATATTCTGCCTCAATATGTAGTGCGGCCTCGTAAAATACTTACAAATTTAATACTAGGTCAGAATATAACACACACCTCTAGTATGTAACGTGTACTCTAAAGAAATTGAGGTAATTGGTTTTGAAGATAAAACACGGGTAACTTATCCAATGACTCTCAGTATTTACAAATCATAAAATACATACAGTAAGAAACAAACGAACACCAACTTATGAAACAAAGAGTAAGTAATTTTGTGATGATCGTTGATAGCATATTGTTTGTGCATAAACACAGGTACTTTCTATCTCTATACCTACATAAAGATTGCACGATACAAAACAACAGTTGAGCATATTTATACAAACAGTACACGTAGATATGTACATATATAGCGTACAGTATTTGGTAACGAGTAGTTATACACGCTCCCTGCCAGCGATAGTTTCGCGCTAGATACTTTATGGTGTCACAAAACTCACAGAAAATTATCTTAAAATAAATCAGGTCACACAAGTGAAGGACACAAAGTACAAATATTTATATAATATCAATACTAATAAAATAGATATACTTCAATAATAAGTAACATATAATTACTTGACAATCAGTTCTACTGATTACAATAAAATATAACAACAATCTACATACATAGCGTTTTATAGTATGCAGTACAAAGTATTATGTTTAATTTATCAGGGCACATGGTATAACTTGACGTAAAATATCTACGATATATGTCGCCATGTTGGCTCATTTCACACTCATATACACTTAACATTCACTCGCGACAGGCCGAGCCCGGCGGCGGCGACCGGGCCCGACCGAACACCGACCACTCAAATACATTACTAAAATAAAATGTCCATCGCCTCTATATCCTTTACAAAAAGGTATCCAGAATTCTGTGGGTCTCACGCTAGAACCTTTAAGTACTATTAAAGGTGGCGCTCGACATGGAAAATCAACTTTTTTGAAATACTCTTAGGATCACGTATACATAATGTTGTAACGTAAACGAAAAATTACTTCAACAATATGTTTCAAAGCTTCACCACGCTGTAGGGTGGGAGCCGCTAGAACTGTGGATGCCTTTCATAGAATATATTAAAGTTTTGGTCGTGCACGTACTGAGTACGGTGGTAGAGTAGTTCAGTACTATTTAATCCTGTTCAGCACGAGGTCGGTGGTGACGACTAGACCCTTTTGGTAGGGCGAGTCAGCCAACTCAGCCGCTAGGCGTGCTGCCTCCGCTCCGTGCTTACGGGCTAGGAAACGTGTCTGCTCAAGTCCGCGAGATTTGTGTACCAGCTCGTACGCTTTCTCAACATCACCCGGCTCTTGGAACCGCCTCATTATCATCGGGTTCAGTTCTGGATACTGAAATGAAAAGAAAATAATATTTAAACGAATGTTTATAAAAAAAATCAAATACACAATTATGTGTTTAGTTATGCTTGCGTCATCTAAAGTAAAAATATGCAAATCGCTTTCTTCACTTTCATTTTTAATATATGTATATGCGTTTAAACAAAATATATAACAATTCTGCGTTGGTCGTTGCGACGTGTTTTCGCTACAACTAACAACCGGGCTTGGTAGAGGTCAATCGTGAACATTTTTGCAATGTAGTGCAAATGGTTCAGCTGTGGCTCAACGTATGTATTACGAAAACGAATATTTTTGCGCAAGTATGTGTATAAGCACTCGCTATGGCCACGAGTATGTAAAGTTGAGGTAGGGCAACCGGTTTGCCACTATTTAGTCGAATTTAAATAGGTACGTTCACATCACGCGCTGTGAAATTCTAAATATACGATTATCAAGTTAAGGTATTTTAGAATTAGGTAAGTAGGTCAAGTACATGTATATGTTTAAACTAGATTCTAATAAAACCTTTATTTTAAAATGTGATCCCTCTTGCAGATGGAAGATGCCTCCATAACGATACTTATCCCATTTTAAGCATATGCAGATAAATACGCTCAAATTATTATCGTATTTATATATCTCTCCAATTTCTGCACTGACACCCGTTAACTATATTTAAATGTCCCCAAAATAGATAATGAGATGACTTTAAAATTAAGTAAGTACTCGAAAGTTGAATAAAATTATAAAAATTTGGAAATTGTAATAACAAGAGATCTTTTCTACAGAATTATAATAGTGCTTCCACAATACCCATTAAAAATGTTCACAAACATTTTCAAAGTATTCTTTTTAAATATATATCAACATTCTTAACGATAGTGTGGGAGCACCCCAACTTACAATATAATATCATAAATAAAATTGAAAAAGAAAAGAAATAATATATACCTTTTCACAGGCAAATAGTACTGGTGCGGTCGCCAGACCAAGCTTGAGGTCGGCGGCGGTGGGTTTGCCCATGGCTTGTGCTGAAGACACGAAGTCTAGTAGATCGTCTACCAACTGGAATGACAGGCCGAGGTTGCGTCCATATTGGAATGCTAGTTCGCACGTACTCTCGTCCGCCCCGCTTAAAAGGGCCACCTGAAAGTAAGGGTTGATTTTAGTACGAGAGACCAGTACATAGACAATTACTTTATCTATAACATGTTTACACAGTAAAATAGATTTACGGTATAACTGAATACAGTACCCGAAGATAATTTACACATTGACTTTGGGAACGAGGACCAAAATTTATGTTTTCTTTTCTTAATGGGATAAGACGGTAAACGAGCAGACCATGGGTACCTCGAACACCCGCGGCGTTACAAATGCGTAACCGGCCTTTTGGGATTAGGAATTTGAGGGTTGTTGGAGATTCAGGGATTGAGGAAGGGAGGCGGGAGGTAATTGGACCTCACTTACACGACCAAAACACAACGCAAGAACATCGGTAACGTGCACTGCAAACTATGGTATTACTCAAAATTTTTTGATTATTTTCTACTCTCGGCTTAGCCCAGGTGCCGTAAACATCAGTTTAGACAGGTAATTTTGGAAATCTGTTAAGAACTTTTTGCAAAACTCTAGTAGTTAAACGTATTTGTTGCAATATTCGCTTACGAATCATAATTTCACTTTTTAAGCTTATTCAACACACTATGCAGAGTATTACGAAACAAGTTGTCAATAAACCTAAATTGCTTGATTATTAGGTACTTGCTTTTATGATCCCTGCTTGAGCATTATGGCCAGTACCAGTAAGAAAATTATTTTCTATTTTCCGTTTAAATATAAATTTCTTTAGAATTGTAAATGAGGTGCAGTACGTATACTCGTGAGAAGCATAATTTTGTAATTAGAATAACATAACAGAAGACTAATGTGAATATTACCGCTTTGACTGAGTTGGCGATGAGTGAAGCTGTCTTCCTGTAGGTCTTGGTGAGGTAATGCGCGAACCGTTCGTTTTCTGTCTCCTTGCTGCCCAGCTGCATGAACTCGCCCTGAACGAGGTCTGTGACCACCTGTAAGTATGATAAAGAACGCTTTAATTAACGGTTCACGAAAAATTAATTTAATATCGCTTTTTAAAAATAGGTTTAAATACATTGTTGTTTATTTATTTACGTATTGGAATACCAACAGCTACACATGGCCAACAAATAGTGGCAAAACAACATCAGAAAGCCAAATACTTATTACCGACATATTATTATCTTATAACCAAATCAAAGGACAAACACAATTTATCAAATAAAACCATTTTCATAATTTTCAGTAGATTATATGTTAAAAAGTAATAAAGGCAAGATTATTTTGGAGGGCCTATTCCTTTACATTTTATAAATTGTCTGATATTATATTTTCATGAAATCATTAGTATTACGACATACGTCATTCGTGATATTTATTCAGAAGAATATAATAGCGCTCATTAGTGTATAGGTACTTGAATAGTGTAATTATTCAAATGATAGTATTTTTCAAGAACGCTAACATAAGGTCGTGAAATATTTCGAAACGGTGAATTTATAAAATTTTCAAATTGCATATTCAAGACAATGTATGTAAATATGACGTGTGATTTATTAATAATGCACTAATTTATGCACTCAGTTGTTTTAAATTAAAAAAAATATTTGTCAAAAACTTTGTTTCTTAACGTTCATACCACATCGCGGCGTTGTGATGAAAACATGGCGGGATTAATGTATTCTGATGAGATGACTATTTCTGTGTTGCTTGTTTATATATGTTTACACACAAGTTTGTAAATATTCAATTTTGTAACTCTACGTTTATTATAGCATTTAAGTAATTCTATTTATAAACTACCTACTAGGCGGATTTTAAAGATTAATAGATAATGTTGTAACATTCTAAAGAAGACTGCATTTCAATAACTGTCAGTGATTTGATTATGTATATCAATTCTTAATTTTACAATTACCTAGCGATTTTATATCATTTGTGTTAAAATAACTAAAAGGATATGTATATATTGCACTAAATGTTAGCGTCTAAGTTAAGAAGGTCGACAGGATGAATCGTTTTAATGAATATTCTAACCGAACATTCGACCCCAATCGAGCATGCGTGTGAGCACGAACATTCAAAAGGTTGTATTGAAGTAATGATTGTGCTACTACTTGAGACTGTGAATGGGAGTACATCAATATAGTGATGAAACACATTACTAATGTGCACATTTTAACACATTTGACGCATAAAGGCATATTGTATTATACGATATTAAGTAATATAACGAACGTTATTACAAAACCCACAATCGTATCTACTTTTTGATGCAAACCGAATGAGAACTGTAACTTTAAAATTGACATTTCTAAAATATTTCACAAGTCTCGTTGCCGATTTTTATAAAAGAAACGTAAGTGTTAAAATAATTAACCGATTAACTATTTTTTTTTTAAATATTGTTACAATAATTAAACAAATCCTAATAATACATATTATAATACATATTAGATTCATATGGCGATTGCTGATATACGGTTCGGTGGTCCAAATTATAATAGGCTCTTTATAACAGTTACCCATCCCATTCGATGGCCTATCATTGCCAAAACTCATTTAGTTAGGAGCCTTACGAATTTGTATAGTACCTAATGTGGGATAATGAAGTAGTTACCTGGCTGAGCACGAGTGTGACGTCATCGCTGCGCAAGCGAGCTATCATCATCGACGCCACGGCGAGGATGAAGTCGCCGGCCATCGCCACCTGGAAATAATAAAAAAAAGAATTGTAACTTGCAACAGTTTACGATTCACATAATCAAAGTAAACCTTGACCTTCAAAATACTCTATATGCCCATGAACTTTGAAGTAACAAGCTCAACCAATAGTAAATCATTACTTTCTATCGCGCTAGCAGCTACAGAGCTTGAAACTGTGACACAATACTGTGAACGTATATTTAATTAAATAATAATTAATTAAAACTATAATTATCTACACACGTCGTCGCGTGAATATCACTCGAACATACGAATGCAGGGGAAAGTGACATTAGTACACACAGCTTGAACAATTAGTTATATTTCTATTGCTAATGCTCGTAGATAACTTTATTTCTTAACAAGATCACAGATAAAGTAGGTAGAATATTTTCTCAAAACATCAAAATATTTATGAATTAACTTTATACGTAAATTAAATCAATATATCTGTATTCTTACTCAAATTTTTAATCTAGTCTAGTTATAATAACTGCAAGAGCAAATAAAATGTCAATAAGGAAAATATCCTAATTTCCTCTTATGAGTTTACGATAAAAGCAACGTAAAATCAAACGTGTTTCATAAATATTGTAGATAGATTTAAAATAAAGTTATGTAAATTGCATTATTTATAACTCGATAGACCTGAAAATTTTCACGAACCTGAATAAGTTTGTAAACATATGAGATAAAACGCCATAAGTACCTAAGTCTTGATATGGAACGGTTTATTTATTTTTAGGCGATATTAAGTGTGTCAGGGTCAATAAATCTGGTACACCTACTATTTCGACGTTGCTACCGAGCCTAATTTTCAGAATAAGAGAAAAATATTTCCAGGAACTGGTTATTTGATAGTCTGAGAATTATCTATTACAAAATTCAGTGTAGTTAGTCACGAATTTTGTGGAAATTTGAATGTGACGTAAAAAGGACGTAGTAGAAAGAATGATATCATAGACATAGATCCTAAGTAATACGTTAGCGAAACAATATCTGTATCTAGACAGGCATGTATATACAGATGTAGTAGATAACATAGATTGTTATAAATGTATCGATGGCGCTCATTTCTCCAGTTGTTGGCAAGAATGTCGAGAAAGTTGTGATGCGGTGTTCGGTCGCATACTAATGGCGGCGCGGACGTTTCGCCGGCGAGGCGCGCGCGTTGCTTCCGAGTGTGGGCGCGCGGGACCTCGCTGCCCGACGGGGACCGACCACTAACCGCCTCTCATTAAACCACTGGACACTTGTTAGCCTACATCCAGTGGCCAGGTTTAATGCACTAACATGTACACTATATGAGACGATTAGTTAACATGTCCGATGAAATCAATACAATGCATCTATTTTTCAATCGTTATAAGTATTACATACTTTTATTTAATCAACGGTTATATATTTTTCTGATACATCATGACAAAAATATAGATGTAGTCTATTTCACTATAACTGTGGATATAATTTCCTTTATTATTTTGATCTTACACATGATAAATAAGAACATCAATATCCACATCTTTTATTGAATGAAAGCTAATCAATTCCTCAAAGAGCTGTGCAATGAACATGTGCTGGAATAATTTGCATTAAAAATTTTATAATTGAAATAAATAATAAAAAAAATCTTAAATAACACATGTCCTTGACCACCTAGTAATATTCTTCATGTAATACCGTTGTCTAAGCGGAGGAAATAAAAAAATGTGAAAGTGGTTGGACGATGACGCGATACGTATTTCCATAAGGTAGTATGAATGAAGGCATCCGGCGACGGGTCCGGTTTCAAGTCAATGACACACTAAGTATTACAATCAATGTTTGATAATTAAATATCGATGGACCTAATTATTACCTTCACCCATTTGTGTTCATATACGCACGTGACTACATTACAACTCTATTCTTAAGATTTATTGTAAGGTACAACACTACTTGTGAGTGGTCTTATTTTGGTCTTTTATTGTAGGTCAGTTCCTAAATGGCCAAAAAGCACCACGATAGTGCTACTTCGCCAGAGTACCATAACCATTCTGCAGTAAAAAATTAAATAGGTACTACCACTTGTACACATGCTTGCAGCGTAAATAATTACGCATTGATGACAGATATTATTTAAAAACTAAAATACCCCAACAACACTAACGCCCGAATATTGAAAGGGTACTTCAATTTTAAGTCGCGCTTAAGTATAATTCTCTCAATATAAAATCTTTGTAAAATAACAGGGACGACTCGAGTAGCCTTTCAGTATTCGGGCTTAAGTAGTACAAAATTTATTTTCCTCATATGTGTGCGTATATCTTTGCTGAAATTCAACAAATGTACTTGGCACTAGGTATATCAACATTTGTCGGAATTTTCACCTATTACGTGTACACCCATGAACCATGGAACGTTGGTGTAATTTTACGTAAGAATAAGGCGTGACCCGACGAGTTTCTGATCAGAAGGAGGACATATCACGTGGCGTTTACAACATAAATTAGTGTCCCTTCTACAACAATGTGTTATTTAGGTTTATTATGTGTGATTCTGACATCACATTCATCATCACCATCATATCAGCCACAAACCGTACTCTGCTGGACATAGGCGTCACCCAATGACTTCCAGATAGGCCGGTTGAATAGATAGTTATCACATTATTGTCAATTAATTTAATGGTTTTACGTTAAATACAATTAACTTAGCTCTCATTTATTGAAACGAAAGATATTTTGCGAAAATGGTAACAGTTTAGACTTGCAAGAAATTTAATGACAGACGTTGCCGACGCGTTACTAACATTTACAGAAGTACGTAGTTATATTAAAAACTATTTACAAGAAAAAGTTTTGAAACGATAAATTATGAAAGGATTAAACGTAAACCTGATTTGCCGGTCATTTGCAATTTACGCTTACAAGGGCTATAACGACTTGCAGACAATAATCATGTTTTTTATACCACTGAATAGCAAACAAGATTACAGTGTGTGTATGCTTGTAAGATACATACCAAAACATATTTATTCCATTTTCATTCAAGAACTAGTTTTTCATTGACGTTGCCTCAATAGATAGCTCATTCTACAGACGTATTGGACCTACGTAGTACAGGATGAAATTCCTCTGGTAAACTACGCGCTGAAATCTGGCTCTAAGGCGTATTGTAGACTTAATAATATTACCCTTATACCGGATTAAATTTAGACAATAATGTATGATAGCGCGGATTAGTATCTAACATAACCAACGGGACTACATACGGGAGTGGCCGCGCGTATCGTACGCGCTTGGTTGCGCAAATCGGTGCACGCGTTAGCACACTTTCTGTACGCTAACCGGGCTAAAAACGCATCCGTTACGTGTGCGAGCCGGACCGGCACAACTGCATTGACGATACGCTAGCGATGTGTCATGACACTCACATCCGTGAACCAGTTTCATGTTACATTAATTACAGGAAAATATTCATTGTAATTCTTTATAACGTGACTGGCCATTTAAAATATTGGTAAGGTACAATTGGCGAAGCTTCCTGCATAACACAGGTTGCATTTATTTTTTACTACTATTGAAAATGTATGATATCGAAATCTATTTAAAAACAGTTGTTTACGGTTGGCGCAGTGGCTTGGAGACCAGCAGCGGCGCAGTGTGCCACGGATTCGATTATCGCACAGAAAGGATATGTGGTCTACAAATCGTTGTTCCGGGTCACTCACATATGGAGAAAATTGTAATGAATTACGTAATATGATTTAAAAAACAGAATTTTCAAAATTCCTTCAAACTTTATTGTATGGACGATAAATAAACACAATATATGTAATAATTTGCATGAAGATATTGTATTCAGATTTACAATTTATATGTTCAAAAATATATGCAACTCCCATGATAAGAGTGAAAGGCTTTCACAAGAACGCGTTGAAAGTCTGCCCAACGTGAGCTACATGAATAATTTACCAGAAAAATCTCTACGATTTCACGCCAACTTAATTCCGAATGCGTTGTAGTTTCTATTCTGTAATTCATTTACACCCATACATTGTAATGCAAGTTCGCACCTCTCTGGAATCACTAATCTTCTGGACCAAACGCATAATATTGAGGTAATTATATAAAGGATGACCTACATATCCGGTACCCGATCCAATGATAAGATAATCTGAAAAGATTATTTACTTAAAACGTGAAAAAGAAGTTATAATATTAAATTTCATTTCAAGGTGCCGTAGTGTCAGTCACCCCGGTAGGTGAACTTAAGATTTCTTTACTACTCCAGGCTTCCGCATTATCTTTTCCGATAAATTAAGCCTATACCCATATAAGGTGGCGTATCATCAGCGGGGAATACCTTTCACAGATAAGGTAAAAGCTAGTGTCAAGAATATTTACTGAACACGGAACTTAACTTTACCTCCGAGGTTAATAATTAATTTTCTTTTCTTGCAGGACAGTATTTGTCCTGCCAGACACCCGAAGGTCGTCATCAGTGCCTGTCGGATGGTTGCGACATGATCTCTCGAAGCGGATCTGGTATAACTAGATATATGCAGTCGGTTACATTTCGTAAGGCAGCCTTGACAGTGGGCAGGTGGTGGTGGCGACGGCGGCGGCCGGCGGACGGAAGGTGAATGTGGCGGGATCTATGTCACGCGGCCGGCCTTGACTCCCCCCTCATCCTTCTCACAACACCAGCCATTCGGAGATCGGCTACCGTAACAAACATACTGTGCGTTCCATAATACAGCTTATTAATTGATATAAATCAATTCAACAAACAAGATTATTCAATACTAAAAGTGGTTTCATAGACATGCAGATTTTTTTTACATCGCTCTTTTACAAAGAACGACATTTCCATTTAAAATTACTCTAGGGAGCGCAACGCCCTCACTGATGAAGGTCTGTGTGATTGTGATAGCGCGTAAGTATGTGCAACGGATTAGCTATGGAGCCAGAAAACCATGTAAACGTAAATTATAATAATATTATGTACCCACACCATTAT